CTCGACTCGTTATCATAACGAGCCGAGTCGAGTCAGCCACGAGTCGAGCGAGCAAACGAGCTTCGAGTTTTTCGTCCAACGTGTAGATTTGTATTTAAAAAGAGGTTATCACTATATATATTATATATTTTTGTTACAAATTTTGAAACATGTGTTTGCAGGATGCTACGTACTCCTACATTGATAAACGTGTTTTGTATATGCTGCTACTGTCAAGGCCCCATCTCAGGAGTCCAAGAACGTCTACTGCCCCTGTACGGAGAGCACCCCTTGTGATCGCAAAAAGAGGTTAAAGCACCAGCAACTTGCCGAGCAGTACTGTGTTGTCGCCCAGGCTTAATGGACTACGGGCAGGCCAGGCCAGCTGTGGTTAATGTTAACCGACAGATAAGCCTTGTACTTAGGCTCAGCTTTGCTGTGATCACACGGACGCAACAGCCAGCAGATGAGACAAGGAACACAGTCAAGCAGTAGGAGAAGATGCATTGCATATTAGCATGCATGCAATGGGCAGCTAACAGAGAGAGCTTGGACCACGGCTGCAGCTGCAACAGTCCAGCTCCAGCACAGTTGTTGCCTACAGTGTAATAATCCTGCCGCGTCTCGCCGGTCGCCAGTTCGGCACCCAGCCCGGCGTCCAGCCCCGGACTTAGCGGCCGTAATTCCGGGCTCACATGGCCGGACCGACCGCGTCGGCGTCGAGACGCTGTACTTGCGAGCAACCGTTCATGCAGGCTGCTGCAGAGGACGCCAAAATGGCGCCAACCCGTGAGTGAGGACGCCAAAATGACGCTGTACTTGCGAGCAACCGTTCATGCAGGCTACTGCGAGTCTGCAACTGGAGGCTCGATGATTCATTCAGATTTCAGACAGAGATGAGGCACGGCCCCCACCGCTTGACTGACTGACAGCCGACAGGTCCGCTTCGTAACACTTTTTGATTCGAACTGGACACGACCATTTGGATCCAAAACGTCCAAATTCAAATAATGCACAGGCAGAGACAGAGGATCTAAATTTCATTTCGGCACGTTGGATGCAAGCAGGATGCGGAGATCTGTGAACACTGCCGGTCTGAACAGTGAACACGATCTGGCCGGTCGATCTGGACACGGCTGCTACAAACCAAGCCGCAGCGGCTACAGGGATTTTACAATCAAGGAACGGCAGCTCGTATCTGGTTTATAAGCCTTGACTTATCAACCAACGAACAGTATTTTTCTCTAACACCAAATCAGCCAACAGTACTTTCAACCATGGCTTATAAGCCAATCCGGCCAAAACGAACAGGCTCGTGCGTGCATGCTTCCAAGCTCCAAGGATGGCACTTGGCAGTCCTAAGCACTCACTCCACACGCACAGACAAGTGACATGTGAGCCCTGAAAAGAAAAAAAGGGAATGAACATGTCGTCGTGCTTCGTGATCCTCGTTCGCAGTTCTTTCATGGCGACCGGCCGGGTGTACACATGGCTAGACGCCAAAGGTATCCTTCTGATCGGAGGGTGTGGCCGGTGCCGGCTGCGCTCGGCCGGCCGGCCGGCGGGTCGACGAGCGGCGCGCGTGGGCGTGGCGTGGGGGCTTTAGCGTAGGCAGGTGGATCGGACCGGTTGGTGGGGGGCAACGCTGCCCGTGATGGCACGGCGCCGTGCGGTGGCGCGGCCGCGAGCGCGAGCGCATGTGAGCGCGAGATCCGTCCAGCTTTAGCGTGCATGTCGCCATGTCCTCTGAACGCCGGACCGCGTCTCGTCAGGCGACCGGAGTCGGAACTCGGAACAGCGCTGTGCCACTGTTCGTCGACGAGGACCGCTGTGCCCTGCCAAAGCTCCTCCTGGCTATAGGCTAGGTGCAGTGCAGTGCAGCCAGCAACGTCACTGTGCCCTCGTATGGCCGCTGGCCGGGCGTGCGCCGGCGCGGTGCTTGGAGAGCATGCTGCATGCATGCACACCGAGTACCGACGATCGGCGATCTTGGATCTAGCGCATGGCCAATCGGCGATGGATCCCTCTCTCGGTCACCGAACCTTTTGTCCATTTGCGCGAGCCATCCCGTGCGCGGCGCGGCGCGGCGGGCAAGCGCGAGGAGGACACGCGACGGAATGGCGAGTGCTGCGGCGCGGCGACGACGAGACGGCATGAGGCGCCGTTCTCACCAAAATCATCTCCCCTCGCGGCTCGCGCCGCGGACCGTGCGTGGCAGCGTGGCCGTTGCTGCTACTTGCGGCCGGGATGCCAACAACGTCTGGTCGTCCGGCAGGTGCTCGCAGGGGCAGCCCCGCCTGCCCCACGCAGTCACGCACACGGCCAGGCCAGCCAAGAGCCCAACACCGCCACGCACTCCGCTGCCGCTCGCTCACTGACACCGCCTCGGTTGCCGCGCCCGTGCTGGGCGGGCTGGCCCCCACCCGCAGGCCGCGCCATGACCTGGCTGCACCGTGCCCATCGCCTGACCAAGCCCCCTGCGGCTGGCTCTGCCTCCTCCCCACAGGGCTCCGATCCATGGACCTGGTCTTTGCGGCGCGGGCGTGGGACCGGCAACGCCTCGTGAGCCAAACCAAACCAAACCGCCTCCTGCTGCTCGCTTCCTCCTTCCGCGGTTACCACTCTTCTCCCTTCCACCACCTCCCAACTCCCTCCCTCCTCCCGTCCGTTGCTCCTGCCTGCGCCTCCACCAGTCCGTCGATAAAGCTGCGGCATTGGGACGGCGGGAGGCAGAAGGAGCACTCATTGCTTCGCCATCTCGTGTAGGCTCTCCCCACCGCACTCCCACGCCTGATACCATTCCGCCGCCGCCGCCGCCGCCCCACCTCTCCTCCTCTCGCCGCCTCTGAAAACACGGTGCGGCGGAGATCCACCCGGAACTGGATCGGCCTACTCCGACACCGGTAAGGAAGCCACTGCTTGCTCGGATGGATTGTCCATTCTGTTCTGCGCAATCCTGCCTTCAAGCGAAAATCTTTGTTTCTGCCATGGATGATGGATTCTTCAGTCCATTCAGTTTTGTTTGTTCTTTAAAACCACCACCCAGTTCACTTTGTTTTCCATTCTTTTTCGTATTTCTCGCCAGTTAATTAAAAGATCCGTTGGTTAACTTCTGTTCCTACTTCTTCAGCTTTGGGAAGATAAACAAGACTGCTTTGCTGTCTTCTGGGAAGTGGAGGAAGCTCACGGTTCATATCTGCCTTGAGGGAACCGGTGGGAGAAAAGATCTGACCAATCTCTTGTCTCCGCTTTTTTTAAATTCTCACTGCTTGGTTGCAACGGCCCAAGAAATGACTATAAAAAAAAGCAAAAGAACAAACTTGTGCAGCTTTTGTTTTAGCATACCATACCTGCAGTTTAGCTTGAGAGCATGTGTGATGTGTCCAGTACATAGTGTTCTGTTTATATTTTTTTTATTCTGCCATGGACTTGTCATATTTTGCTCGTTACATTGGTAAATGGGATCACATTAAATAAACGGTTGCAAAGCTGCATATTTTGTTCCTATCCTAGTGCATGTTGTGAAGGATGTATAAGAGCAAGACGAATAATATAGCATGTCTGCTGGTTTACAGCCATCTCTCAACCTACTGGGTAGCCAGGTGTTTACTGTCAATACATGGCATACTTGTCTCTCTCACAGAGTTTCTTGGTTCTTATGTTTAAACCGGCTGTAAGCTTACAACCCATCTCTCTTCTCCTCTCTCCTTCATCTTAGCATTTAGCCAGCTTAGAGCCTGCAATTATACTTGCTCTAGCCACACCAGGTCCATCCATTGATTTTTTGCTTCTTTTTTCGGTTGTAGTGGGCGCATTGCTTGCTTCGTTATTCTCTGTTTGGTAAACTTATTATGAAGGATGTGGCCTACATTGGTGAATCTTATGCTTATTGGTAGGACGAGCATTTTGGTACGTACTGGCGCCACTTTTCTAGAAAAGAAGGCCCTAGTAAGAGCTAACTAATTTGATTTATTGTGTAGCTAGTAGACGTGAAATCGTTACGAGAAATCATGATGCCCATTGTACTACCTTGATTAAATTGATGCCCCTGTGCAATTGTGCTTTCCCAAACAACGCTTGTTATTGGGAATAACTGTCCTGATAGCGGTGGGTCAAGCACATCAGTGTGCTCTTCTGTTTATTGCACCATTAGATGTCAGTCTAGGCGTTCGGTTAACCGAAACCGATCGGTTCGGTTCTTCAGCTAATTCGGTTACCTGAGAAGAAGGGACCGATCGCTTACATTGAAAATGCGGAACCGAGGAATTTCGGTTTCGGTTAATTCGGTTCGGTTTCAGTTCTAACCGATGGAACCGAATTTTTCAGGAGAAACAACCCATTCAATTGCAAATTTTGGCAGCATTTTGTCTGATTTTTATGCAGTCAAAAGGGACAATTTAAACAACAACGCAGCATAAAAGAACAATACAACACATATATGTTATTGTTCTCTCAAATATTTAAGCATAGAGCAATATTCAAGCCTGCAGTAAAAAAACAAGAGGTCCAACAGCTTAGTTCGGTTATTTTAGGTTAATTCGGTTAACCGAGTATTGGAACCGAATTAACCGTAATAATTTCGGTTCCTAGGAACCTGGAACCGAACCTAGAACCGAATATTTCGGTTTCGGTTCCGGTTAGTTCGGTTCGGTTCTCGGTTTTTTTGTGCCCAGGCTTAATTAGATGATGCAATCGCACACGCTGATATGATATTTGGTACTCCCTCCATCCCAAATTGTAAGTCATTCCAAGAATCTTGGAGAGTCAAAGTTTTTCAAGTTTGACCAAATTTATATAACAAAATAATAATATTTATCATACCAAGTAAGTATCATTAGATTCTTCATTAGTTATATTTTCATATTATACCTATTTGATGTCATCAATCTTTGTATTTCTCTCTATAATTTTAGTCGAAAAAGTTTGACTCTTCAAAATTCTTGGAATGACTTACAATTTGGGATGAAGGGAGTACTTCTCATGAATTGATCAGATTTTTGTCGCAGGGCCCAATCGCAAGCATGGACAAAACTGCCAATGTAGTATTGGATATTGAGGGTCTGCCTCAACCACCTGATAAATGCTGCTCCGGAAGTCCGAAAATGATTGTATGTCCTTTTACTCGAAAATTTAAACAGCCAATAGTTTTCTGAGTTTCTTAAGCCCGCATTCTCTTCTCCTGCAGAGGGCCTTATCACGTAAGGGTTCAAATCGGATGGAAAGGAGGGGCGGTGATGAGCTGGAGCAAGAGGATTTGGCAAAAAAACTTATCATCAAAGGTAACAACATGGTATTATCTCTTACTTTTAATGTTTGGGCTTTCTTGATACTTACGGAAATGGCTCATTCTGTTTAATCATGCATTGTCTAATCATGTGTGCCTTTAGATCCACTAACCCGTGTCTGTTTGGATCAAAAAGAAAAAAATCTTTGTTATGTACCCACTTATGTTGGGCAATTTGTTACTGTACTTATCATCATCCTGATTGCCATATTGGCCGCAAATCTTTTTCCTATATAAAAGAGAGATTCTATTTTTGTCTATAAGATTTCTATATCGTTTGACTATATTTCTGTTTCCTCTGGCCTTTGAATTGATAACTATGAAATTCTTTGTACAGCTTACATTAACCTAGCATAATGCTGTCTTGGTCCTCATAGGCTAAAATAAATTGTGCTTCTTTCTTATGGCTGCAATTTTGTCCCCTTGCTTTTCTCCTGTACAGCAGACAGTACTTAACAGCCATAACTACCGTTATTTATGCTTCTGTTGAATCTGATTCTCTGCAGTTGTGCCATCTCAACTGGAGCAGCCCCTGGGCCAGAACAAGGCTCTGGTTGCTCCACATTGTACTCCCTGCACACCTGTTCTTATTGATTCTGGGGAAGGAAGGAGCAAACGATTTAGCCGATTCACATCCATAAACCCTCGGAAAATTCTCCTCTTATTCGCGACGCTGTAAGTGGATACTTCTTCTCTTCTTAGCAATGCTGTAAGCCGTGCCTTCTTGGCGACGTCACACCACTGTCTCTGTCGGCGGTTCTTCCTGGCTTCTTTCTCTGATGTCTGGCTGGCATTGTTTCTCGTGCCATAAGCAGGTCGAGCGTGGGGACGACGATACTGATCTACTTCACGCTGGCGATCAACAGCAAATCGGAGGCGTAGTCTTCTGGAGACACCAACATCATTTGTGTCGGCGGCAGCAGTACATTCCGAGCTTGAGTTTTTCTCGTTTTGTTTGTGTGGGGAAGAAGAGGACCAAAGCAGTAGCTGCCGCAACGAGATCAGATGCAGCCAGTCAGGTTTCTGTATCCGTGACTGTGAGTGAGACTGCTTGAGGGGGTGCTCGCGCGTTGTATTGCCTTCAGTTCACCCCCTGACCTCCCAAACTCCCTTCTTCCTCGCGTGTATATGTATATTGGTTTGGTTGCTGTGACTTTTTTTTTGAGTCTATGGAGATAGAGAGAATTGGTGTTTGGTGTGCTGTCCTGCCGCGTGGTGCAGTGAGCTGGGGTCACTGGCTCAGTGATCTCTGCTGGTTGGTCGCTGATCCAGTGACTCCTTTTCCTGCGTCGTGCCCCAGGCCCCAGCTGTAAAAAGTTGAGAGCCGAATAATCGGGGAAATTTCCTGTGGACGCCGACGCCACCTGCTAGGACGCCCAGGTCTGCGGTTAACCTTCGGGCTTCGGCTCTGAGCTCAAGGCGACGGCTCCAGGCAAACGAGAGTTGATCCAGCCCAGGGACCTTGGGGGCTGTTTGGATTTGGACTGAAGTCCCTTCTACACTACATATTTGGTGCAGTGGCAGATCTCAGTTGTCCAATCTTCCAGTGAACTGTTAAGATCTGATGCTACAGTGACCAGCTCCGTGAACAGTGATACGCAGGATCGATACAGTGTTGACCAGTGTGCTATACAGGTCCCTTCTTCTGGTTATTATATTCGACAAATTGGTATCATGGATCAAACCAAAGTACACATCTGAAGGTTTGATATGTTAAACTGTTGACCAATCAACTGATCTTGCCTCGGATCTCTGAGGATAAAGCAGCCTGATTGCATTTCTTCAGCTGCTTGACAAGAGTCAGGGATGAAATGAAGTGGGATTCTTTATTGTGGTTGTGGAAGAAAACTGCACTGCACAATCATGTTTGTTGGATTACATAGTCTACAAAAAACACAATTTCTTTGTGAATGTTGTGGACTTCATCATCTTTCTTTAAATAAAATAAATCCTGAGTTTCCTGATACAGGGCAGCCTGAATTCTCAAGCAAAGCAAAGCCACAGAGGAACATTTTCACATTCTGTGGCATGATTCTGTACGGTATACAGACATGCATGAACACTTCAAGTAATCGGCAGAAATACACTGTACTACATGGTAATACTAGTTCAGTACTGGCAGAATTTAAATATGTTCTATGTACAGACATGTAGTGACGGACTCGTGACAACTAAATATTGAAGTTAGTAATCGCTCTTCACATACAATCATTAGTCACTTGTTTTTTTTCAATGTTCTTCTTCTTCACCTCTTGCTAATGTTTCTCTAACAAACATGAAAACATATATCACTAATGGACTCTAGTTGCTGCAGACTATAAACTATACCTCCAGCGCACCTGTTCTTATTAATCCAGGGCATATCAATTTACAAAAAAAGCAATAATAGAAGCAAACAAAAATCACAAAGCCAATAGAATCTTACAATAATAATACACATCGAGCAACAACAGAAGCGAACAAAAATCAGCTTAGAGGGAGTAGAAAGAAACCCAAAGATCACAAAGGTTTTCCATCCACTTTGTTGTTCAAGATCTCTGGGCCTCCTCGTTTTTTTTAAATGATCTCTGGACCTCCATATTTATACACCTTCCCACCTCAACTTGTGATACATCTGTTGATAACACCCCTCATTTAAGGAAGCTTTGCTGGGTCTGTAGCGAACTATTATTGTCAGGTATCAGTATTAGGGATACCCGAAGAAGGGATCTGAGGACCGCGGACGACAACTCGCCTAGATAATCAAGGACGTATTTCAATCTCGCCTGACCCCGAAGGGACGGTTTCCTCCCTCCAGACCCCTCGGGCACGGGCCCCGTGTCGCCCGACCCCGAGGGTACGGGAGCCGTCTCGCCCGACCCTGAAGGCACGGGCTCCGTCTCGTCCGACCCCAAGGGCACGGGCTCCGTCTTGCCCGACCCCTCGGGCACGAGCTCCGCCTCGCCCGGCGGGGTCTGTACCACCTCCAGCCACTATGGTCCAAGCGTGTGGGCTTGGGTCAAGCCTCTAACACTAGAAGGGGTGTGGACACGCCTTGACGTGACCCGTGGCCATGACAAGCCACGTCCGGGGGTTCACATCGCCAACAGTGACGGGTGCGTGGGCGCTGTGCTGCTTAATCCCCGTACGGCCGCTGACAAGCATGTCGGTTCACCACGCCGTCCGCAGGGACAGGATGGAACGCCACGACCAGCTGATGACGTTGAAGCATAGCACCAGTGGTGAACAGGATCCCGCGCGTGGAGCCATCCCCGTCACCATCTACAGCGTCAGCGGGACCCGCATGAAGGAGAAGAAGGACGCGGTGGTCTCCCTCTTTCTCTCTCTTCTCTTTTTTTATGTAACCTACATCTTCCCCTTCTATAAAAGGAGGGAGACAGAGGCACGAGCACACGGCTAAGCAGCTGAACAAACTCTCAGCACTTTTCAATCCTTTCACCAGAGACCTAGGATTCACTCACTCTCTCGCCCATCTATAACCCCTACTACAGACAGGGTCGGTAACACGAGCAGCAACAGACTGGATGTAGGGACGTTCTACCTGAACCAGTATAATTCTTATGTCCTCCGAGCACACCATTCGGGCCAGACACGCAAACTAGAAATTTACTAGCCGGTGATCCAAAACACCGACCGACCTCGACTATGGAGCGCCGAGGGTCAGGGCGTACAACGAGTATGGAACCGAGGTGTCCCTCGAGGATGCCATGGATCAGCTCGATGAGGCGCGCGACGTTGCCCTCCTTCGCTCGGCTAAGTACCAGCAGGCGTTGCACCGGTACCACAGCTGTCGGGTGCGGGGTCAGGCCTTCAACATCGGGGACTTGGTACTATGCCTCGTCCAGAGCAACAAAAACCATCACAAGCTCTCTCCGTCGTGGGAGGGATCATACGTTGTTGTAGAAGTGCTCCGACCCGGCACCTACAAGCTCAAGACCATCGATGGCAAGGTCTTCGTCATCGCATGGAACATCGAGCAACTACGTCGTTTTTACCCTTAGCATATGCATGTACCCATGAAAACTAAGAATGGTGTTTCTGAAATACTAAAATGCTTTCTTTTTCGCTATCTCATACTCTATCCTTAATGACACCCGACCCTAGCAATGGCACGGGGCCGGGCCTCACTCGGGGGTTGATAAGAGCATACCTATTCAGAAACAATCGCTGTGCCCGACCCCTTCTCACGTTAAGATCTAAAAGCGATAGCTGTGGAAACGAACACTTAGTAAAGTTGGTCAGACTGCAAGGAACCTATGCCCCAGTGGCTATGGCGTTCTTGCTCACCAGTATGATCAGGGTTCTTTCGCCCGTGCCTTAAGCTTTATAGCCTTAACAACGGAAAAGGGTCAGAATGCAGTAACCTTTTTATAACACAAAAGAACTAAAACTTGTTCATTTATTACAAGACCACCACTTCGTTTATCTAACTAACTAATTTTTCAGGGGGATGATCTCATCCTCTATCTTGGCAGATAAGTCCTGTGCCAGAGGGGCCACCTCCTTCTCGATGTCCTCCAGCTCGGCGTCAGAGTAGCCGGGCACGAAGCCTTGGCTCATCATCGCTAGATCGATGTTCTCATAGTGAGAGCGAGCGAGCGCAAACGACCGATTGACGCCAAAGTGAAGCGCACCCCTCGCAATGTCGTGCACCCGATCCGTGATCTGGACGGCACGAACCACAAGCGAGCTCATCTCCTATGCCGGGGCCAGCTTGAGGTCGCTGCAAACCAGCCGGACAGCGACGCGCAGGGCATCGTGCTCTTCGCTCTCCTTTAGGAGGGTGGCCTTCACCTCGCCGAGCTCCTTCTCCAGGATGTGGCTCTCCGTCACCTCCGCCGCGAGCCTACCGTCAAGTCCTCTCCAAGTCACACAACAACCACGTCAAAGGACTCACCACGGGTTCTAGGGAAAAGGACAACAAGGCAAACCAGAGGATTACCGTCCACGTCCGCCTAGAGCTTGCGCACCTCATCACGCCACCGGGTCACCTCGGCCTCTAGGTTCTGGATCTGCTCCCTGCGCTGACTGACCTCCGTGGCGAGTCTGGCGGTCATCGCTTCTGCCACAACCTTTAGGTCCTTTTCTCCCTGAGCTCGCCCTCCAGGAGGCAGATCCGCTACTGGGCGTCGACACACTCCTGACGAGCCAGGTCACGCTCCATGCGGAATCCCTCTATGATTTGGATCATGCCGTCCCGCTCCTTCCGTAGCCGCTTGGCCTCCGCCTTGTCCATGCGTCTCCTCTCAAGCAGGGCCACGAGCTTCTCCCTAGCCTCTTGGGCATCAACGCGAGCCTCCGCTTCCTTGATCCAGAGATCGGCCAACTCCTGGCGGACGGGGGTGAGCTCAGCCACCTCCTGACGGGCGGCAGCAAGCTGTGCTTCTAGATCCTCACGCCGCTACTTCTCTTCAGCGAGGCAATCCCAAACATCCTTCTCGCGATGAAGGAATAGGGACTTCTCCTGGCTACGGCGCATGAGAGACTACGGAGAGGACATTAGTTAAGAGGCACAAAGGATAGAGACGAAGGTCGAAGACACGGACATGACGTACCTGGCCGATCGACGTGACGACATCCTACAACGAGTTCATCGCGGTGGTCAGGGCATTGACCGCGACCCCGACCCCTAAGTGAATGCGCCCCCACTCCCTCTCCTCTGCGGCATCGTCAAGGGCGAAGAGCGTCGCCCTGGGGTTCCGCCGGTCGGCCCATCGGATCTGGGGGCCTCCCCAGGTGTGCGGGTCGCCACCGACCTAGACCAGAGGCCAGGACGCCTTAGCGTTGACCCTAGGCAACGCCGATCCCTCTCGCTATAGCAACTCCTCCAAGACGGGCCCCCTAGCAGTGGAGGGGACAGGTGACGTGAACAAGGAAGCATG